TCCTTCCTGTGGCAGCCCCTCAAATATTGGAAGACCGCTATCCTGTCTCCCCTGGTCCTTCTCTTCCCAAGACTAGCCAGGCCCAGTTCCTGCAAGTGTTCATTGTATGTTTTAGCTTCCAGTCCCCTCATCCTCCTGGTTGCTCTTCTCTGCACTCTTTCCAGAGTCTCAACATCTTTTTTATAGTGTACTGAGTTTAACAGCTCAAGTGCTTTCTTTCTGACTTTAAACTAAGGCACTAGGTTAGAATGGAAAGCACCTTTTGCATCCACCTATTTGACATCTCACAGGCTTACAAGAGGATCTGGCAACACTCAGCTCTTAGACTATGTCTGGCCCTTGGCCCACTTTCACACAGCCCACCCTTTCGCTTCCAAAGTCATCCTGCTCCATCCCTGCAGCTGCTGCTCAGAAGGAAACGAGGGAGAGAAAGGGAGGGAAAAAGAGAGAAGGGGAATAGACGTTTTGTGGTCCTGACCACTTTTTGCTAGAATTTGCTTCCATTGCTAGCCTTAGTTTTGAAGAAACGTGTCATTTAAAAGCAAAAGTCCCTAAACAATAGAGGCCAGTGAAAGTCTTCCTTTCCTTTCCCATCTTCCTCTCTTCCACTCCCTTTCCATTCTTCACTTCTATTTCCCTTTTTCCTTTTCCCTCCCTTTCCTTTTTTTCTTCTACTGGTATCTCCCTTCTCCTTCTGTTTCCCTTCCCTTTCCATCTTCCTCTCCTCCCCTCCCTTTCCACTCTTTCCTCCCCTTTCCCTTTTTCCTTCCCCCCTTTCCTATTCTTCTTCTATCTCCTTTCCCTTCCCATCTTCCTCTTCTCTCCTCCCCTCCCTTTCCACTCTTCCCTTCCCCTTCCCACTTCCCTTCCCTTCCCTTCCCAGTCTACCAGAGTACAGACCACTAACAAATCTGAGTGTATATTTGTGCATGTCTGGGGGAGGGAGTTTTTCCAGGCTGTTCCACTGTTCCTATCCTGCGTGTTCTCTCTGCTCACCTATGACAATGAAGCGAGTGGTTGCCATAGATGAAGCAATCTCAGAAGAACGGCAAGTTGGCTTCTGCCGTGACTGCCTTCAAAAATTTTGGAGAGGACTTTTCACCTTCCTGAATTGTCCAAACCAGAGCTGATTTGCTCCAACTTTCAAAGTCCTCTTTCGAGCGCCGATGTTACCCAATAATTGGTTCAGCCCAATAAACCAAACTGATGATAGGTAACCAGGACCCAGAGCACTTGTTATGCTTCAAGAACTGGGAGAGGTGCTTGTAGGGATAGAGTCAAAAAAGTCAAGATGGCGGCCACAACCACCCCCTTGTTACTTGCACCCAGATCCCTTTTTCCAAGAGAAACCAGTCCAGCAGCAAAACAAAATACACTTTCTTCTTTTTCCACCTTCCTCACACAGAAGAACTGAGCTGTAAAAGCTGGTGTCCCTCTGGCCTGTATATTTAACCTAGTTACTCAATTAACCCATGTCCTGGGTTCACACAAGACAACACCAAGCCATCATCACCTAAAGAGACTTAATCTGCAGAGCAGACTAAACCACAAATCATCAGAGGTTCACCCTTGCTAAGGAGTGTCGATCAACACGAAATAATAAAACTTCTTGCCCTGGTCACCACTATGTAAAAAAAAAAACACAATGTTGAGACTCTAGAAAAAGTGCAGAGAAGAGCAACAAAGATGATTAGGGGACTAGAGGCTAAAACATATAAAGAACGGTTGTTGGAATTGGGTATGTCTAGTTTAATGAAAAGAAGGACTATGATAGCAGTCTTCCATTATCTAAGGGGCTGCCACAAAGAAGAGGGAGCCAAGCTAATCTTCAAAGCACCTGAAGGCAGGACAAGCAAGCAATGGATGGAAACTAATCAAGGAGAGAAGCAACTTAGAACTAAGGAGGAATTTCCTGACAGTGAGAACAATTAATCAGTGGAACAACTTATTTATTTTATTTTATTTGGTTTGTCAATTGCTTACAAGATAATAGGTAAAAACATAGTTATGAATACATGAATACATATAAGAAAAATAAAAGAAACAATAGGACAGGGACGGTAGGCACGATTGGTGTGCTTATGCACGCCCCCTACAGACCTCTTAGGAAAGGAGTGAGGTCAATAGTAGACAGTCTAAGGTTAAAGTTTTTGAGGTTTGGGGAAGAAACCACAGAGTCAGGTAGGGTATTCCAGACATCTACCACTCTGTTGCTGAAGTCGTATTTCCTGCAATCGAGTTTGGTGTGGTTTACCTTGAGTTTGTATCTATTGTGTGCTCTTGTATTGTTATGGTTGAAGCTGAAGTATTCATTTGCAGGTAGGACATTGCAATGTATGATTTTATATACTATACTTAGATTGGACCGAAGGCGGTGTAGTTCTAGGTTTTCTAGGTCTAGAATTTCAAGTCTGGTGGCATAAGATATTCTGCGACGAGTAGAGGAGTGGAGAACTCTTCTTGTGAAATATTTCTGGACTTTCTCAACTGTGTTAATATGGGTTCCAGACTGATGAGCTGTATTCGAGTATTGGTCTAGCAAATGTTTTGTATGCCCTAGTTAGTAGTGTAATATTACCAGAGAAAAAGCTACATAGGATTAGGTTAGCAACTCTTAATGCCTTTTTGGCTATATAGTTACAGTGGGCTCTAGCACTTAGGTCATTTGAGAGGAGTACTCCAAGATCCTTGACAGAGTTTGGATCATCAACAAGGACTTGACTATTCAGCCTGCATTTTATTTTCTGATTTTTTTTTGCCAATATTAAGACGTTGTGAGAGCTCCAACACTGGAAGTTTTTAAGAAGAGATTTGTCTGAAATGGTACAGAGGGAGGAGAGAGGAAGCCACCAAAGACTGTAGAGGACCTTATTGAAGGTCAAGGAGTGGAATAACAGGGTCAGAAGAAGAGGAATGGGCTGCCCAACACAGAGAGGCATATGTCGGTTTTCTTTTTCCCTTCCTCTCCTCTCCTCTCTTCCTCTCTCCATAAAGCCATTACAAATTAAATGCCACAGATGTAAATGCTTTGAGAGCCGGGGGTGGGGGTGAACTAGAAGACCTCTAAGGTCCCTTCCAACTCTGTTATTCTGTTGTCCTAGTTGAGGATATGGTGGAAACTGAAACCCAAGATAGCAACTTCCCCCAGTCTCAAACCAGATTGGATCTGGCAATGCTTCTGTTTGGTTTTCCAGAGCCTCTGAGTCCTTTGGATGTTGTCAGATACCCCTGGAAGCTTTTTCTCATTCATTGAATTGCTCTGCTAGACCCCAAGTGACCCCCTCCTCATTTCTACCTCCATCTTCATTGATACCAAGAAGTGCCTTGTCCAAACAAGAACGCCTTGAAAGGTTGTCTTTCTAGTTCCTCCAGGATCCTGCTGAGAACTTTTTTTTTTCCCCTTTGGTACTCCTGCCAATGCGAATAGCCATTAATAACCCACCAGCCTTTCTCAATGGGTTGGACTCCAAACCCTATGGTCCACAGCGGGTCCTTTTCTAGCCCTGCCTGGATACGAGCTAGTGATCTTTCCTTCTAAGGCAGGGTTGCCAAATCAAACGAAGGCAGGGTTGATTTAACTGTGGCTTCTAGAAGGAACTCACAACGGGGTGGAATCCCACCCAAATTAAAGACAGGAAATCCAAACAAGCCAGGCACGTCAAGCCCACCTCCCTTAACTCACTTTCCCTTCCAAGCTACAATTCTGTCGTGGAAGTGAGGCGTCTTGGGAGGGGGTGTGTACGCAGGTCTGCACAATCCGCTGAACAATGAACTCACCCAACCGGCTGGGTTCTCACGCGTCGCCTTCAAACCACCAAAACAAGTCACACCGCCGTTCACACGAACCGGGCTTAGCCCGTTCTACGAAGGCACGGAACCGGCTGGATGGTTCGGGGCTCTGGGACGAGGTCTTCCCTGGACTAAGGCTGGGGGGGGGGGGCTTTTCCAAACTCCTCCCAGGGGCTTGTCAGCTTTCCCCCCCCCCCCCACCACTTCCTCCCTTTAGGGGTCTAAGCGCGGGGGTTGCCAAGGCAACTCAAAGTGGGGTTTTCGAGGTGGAGGTGGATGGGGGGGGGGAAGGGGCGCTGACCGGCGGCGATGTCCCGGAATGGTGCCGCGCCGGCTAGAAAGAGCCGCGCTCTGCACCTGCTCAGGGGAAGACTGTCGCGGTTCCCTGGCTGGCAGTGGAAGCCAATGGCCAAGGAGGAGCCCCTTCCCCAGAGAGCCTGGGAAGTGGGGTGCGGAGCGCAAGGAGAAGAAAGAGAGACGGGCGGGGAGGGGGGGGCAGAGAGATACCCCAACCGTCCGGGGGAAATTTCCCCTAACAATCGCAATTGAGGAGCGCGCTGGGCGGGGTGGTTTCCTCCACACACACACCCCGCTTTCGCTCTTGGCAAACCTTTCCCCGGCTTGGCTAGTCCCCGATTCTTTTTTTTTATTTTGTATTTATTTTGAGAGAAAAAAAAAACCCCCCCCCCCCCCCCACACACACACACACTCTTCCTCCCCGCAAGCTCCCGGTTTCTCGCTTCCTTCTCCAGCCGCCGAGGCAGAAACAGGCTGCGCTGGAAACAAAGAAAACTCCGGCGCCCACTCCCAGCCCTTCCCCGAAGTCCTCTCTTCTTGGCACCCCTTTCTTCCAGCAGCCCGTCTTTTGTCTTCTCGCCCCCCCCCCCCCCCCCCCCCCCCCCCCCCCCCGCCCGGGGGCCCCCCCCCCCCACCCCACCCCGGCTGTCTAAGGCAAGCCAAGCCGCCCCCTTGGCCCCACCTGTCTGACCCACCTTTCTGCCTCCCGCCCCCCTCCCCGCGCCCCGTTTATCAGCTTCCCCCCCCCTCCCTGCCTTCTCTCCCCCGCCCCTCCCGGGTTTTCTCCTGCTTCCAAACTGTCCTTAAGCAGCCCCGAGAGAAAGGACCCCTGGCCGGCCGGTGGGCGGGGAGGATGGGGGTGGCTGGCTGGCTGGGTGGGTGGGCTTGCCCCTCTCGCGCGCCACTTCTCCTACCCGATTTCCAGCTCTATCTCGGCGATGTCCGCGAAGAGCAGGATTCCCACGAGCAGGCTGAGGAGCGCCAGGGTCCAGCTCCGGCAGGGCAGCGGCATGGTGCCCGGGGCCAGCCCGGCCGCCACGAGATCCGAGGGGCGGCTGGAGGGAGAGGAGGAGGAGGAGGAGGAGGAGGAGGCTGAACCGCAGAAAACGGCGCGTTGGGGTGTGTTGGGATGGGGGGGGGGAGGCGAAGAAGGTGGGGCGGGTTCCTCTTGATCCTGAACGCCCCTCCGCTCCCGATCCTGAAGGAAGCGGTCCCGAAACTGCCTCGAACGCTAAGACGGGAGTTTGTGGCAGAGGATCCCCCTTCCTGCAGCCGCCTCGCCGCCCCACCCCCCACCCCCCTCGCTCCCCCTTCAGCGCATCTTCTGGCCGGTAAATCCAACTTCCACCTCTGTCCAGGATGAAACCCAGTTCCCTCTCTGTATCTCCTGCTCTGAGCGACTGGAGGGCTAGGGAGAAGACAAGGTCTCTGCCTCCCTCCCCTCCTCCCGTCTTTCTCCTCCCTGTGCAACGCCCCTTTGCAAAGTTTCAGCCCCCCTCTCTTTCTTCCCCCACTCTCTCTCTTTCTCTGTTTCTCTCTCTCCTCTCTCCCTCTCCTCTCTCCCCTCTTTCTCTTTCTGTTTCTTTCTCTGTGTTTCTCTCCTTTCTTTCTTTCTCTGTTTCTCTCTCTGTGTGTTTCTCTGTTTCTCTCTGTCTCTCTTTCCCTCTTTCTTTTCTCTCTCTCTCTGTTTCTCTCTCTCTCTCTGTTTCTCTCTGTTTCTCTCTCTCTCTCTCTCATCTGTCTCTCTCTGTCTCTGTGTGTATCTGTCTGTTTCTCTCTCTCTCTCTCTCTCTGTGTATCTCTGTCTGTTTCTGTCTCTCTCTCTCTCTCTCTCTCTCTCTCATCTGTTTCTCTCTCTCTCTCTCTCTCTCTCTCTCTCTCTCTCTCTCTCTCTCTCTCTGTGTGTGTGTGTGTGTGTGCATTTGCTTTATGGCTTTAGAATCTAGAGCAAAACAGTGGGAAATGAACCTGGTGCAAACATAGAAGTGTGGCTTCCGGGAAGAGGTTGATACTGTGTTTAGGAGAAGAAGAGTTGTAACTATTCTGGAGGTAACAGGAAATGGACTCACAACTCTCCTATCTGTAGCCAATGGGCGATGGGGACATTGACAGCCGGTTCCAACATGGACACCTCTTGGGGTGTGGGAGTTCTTAAAAAAAGGAGGGGCACTATGGACATGAGACAAATCAAAAGAACCCCATCTCTTCATGCTGTCTTTTGTTAAAGCCACAATAGTTGAGTTGCATTCCACAATGTGCGAAGGGATCAGCCAGGTTCCACATGAGATAGGAGAGCCAGGGATACGCTAACATGCATCTTTCAGAAAACAGAAAGTTAAACCCAAAGGAGGAGAATGAAAAAGGGAAGAGAAAAAGTGTTTCATGGGCACCACAAAGGCAACACAAGTAACTGCAGAAATACACTGAAAAGGGTATCCCAAAGAGATAAAGTGTTAAAGAGAAAAACAACAACAAGAATTTCCTCAAGTTCCTTTACAGGCAGATAAACCTCCCAGGAAGTAGGTGGTCGGGCCATTCAGAAGACAAAGTAGTGAAAGGAGAGATTTGGGGGAATTGTGGAGAAACCAAAAGTTTGGCTGGCGTAGTAATTAAAGCATCAAGGCTGGGAACTGAGTTTTAGTCCTGCCTTAGGCATGAAAGCCCGTTGGGTGACTTTGGGCCAATCACCAGCAGACAATGAGTTCTAGTCCCGCCTTAGGCATAAAAGCCAGCTTTGAGTCAGTCACTCTCCCTCAGCCCAACCCACCTTACACGGTTGTTGTTTTGGGGGAAATAGAGGAGGAAGGGATATTGGATATGTTCACCACCTTAGTTACTTATAAAAACAGGATAAAAATATTTTTTAAAAATTGAACAAGGAGATTTTATTCCTTTCTTTCTTAGAAGCTGTGAGAATGGGAGTCATTCCAGGAATTGATTGGAAAGATAGGAATTTTTCCCCTTCTTTGTTAAAGTATTTCTTCTTCATCTTCTGCATAAACTATGGGATGCATTCTCAGAAGACCTGATGTCGACCCTAGTTGGGGCTGTATATCATGGACTATCTGTAATCTCAAAAATTTGGAATTTTCAACTTTTCAACATTTCATCTGTTTCAACTTCTACCCTCAAAACAGCACTATGGAGCATTGCATGCCAGAACCACTAGACACAGGGACAGTGTTTCCCCCATGCCATCTTTCTTCTAAACAACTAATTCTCACAACTCTGTCAAACTATCTAATAAAACTGTGTTACTATTCTTCTCATCTTTCCTCTTAGTTACCTCCTTATCTTCTTATCACTATAACTTTGCTGTCTGTATCTTATGATTAAATTTTATTTAGCATCCTAGTATAATTTATGTTGATTGCTTATTTAGTATCCTATCACTACCACTAAGTGTTGTATCTTACGATTTTAAAATGGATGTGTTTTTATATGACTATGATCATGATTTATCACTTATTGTTTGTATGTACACTGAGCTTATGCACCAGAGACAAATTCCTTGTCTGTCCAACCACACTTGGCCAGTAAAGAATTCTATTCTGTTCTGTTCTGTTCTGTTCTGTTCTGTTCTATTCTATTCTATTCTATTCTATTCTATTCTATTCTATTCTATTCCTATTCCTATTCCTATTCCTTTCTATTCTACTGTTGAATTTATATTACACAAAAATAGTTTGTTGCAAAAGTGACTGCCTGCGAAGGCTTCTGGATTGGGGCTGAAAGGTGAAAGTGGAAGCAGCATGCTCCATCCCATAATTGGGTAGACCTGATAGACTGATCTCACCAGGAAAAACAACAACACTCACTCTACTCTACTCTACTCTACTCTACTCTACTCTACTCTACTCTCTACACTCTACTTTGCTCTACTCTACTCTACTCTACTCTACTCTACTCTACTCTACTCTACTCTACTCTATTCTATCCCTCCATATTGGAAATAGTTAACCTCCAAAGAAGCACTGCAGAGGACGAGCAGTGGGAACAGAGAAAGTCTTCATTTCCTGTTTGTGACATCCAGCTTAGATAGCAGGAGAACCCAAAGGTTAGCCTAGAATGAGCTTTGCCTGTTCCCATGTTTGCTGGTGTCTCAAATTAGCACAATTAGTCTTAGCACGTGGTACTATTAACCCTTACCCGAGTTCCAAATCCAAACAGGGACAACCCTGGTTCAGAAATGACATTCAGCAGGTTCTGACCAGTTCTGGAGAACTGGAAGCAGAAATGTTGAGTAGTTTGGAGAACCGGCAAATCCGACCTCTGACTGGCACTGCCCCATCTATTCTCTGCCTCCCATTGAATCCCAGCTGATTGGCTGGGTCTTCTTTGGTTGCCCTGCACAGGAGAACAGAGCTGGAAAGCAGGTTAGTGGGGTGGGGAGAGAATGGGGATTTTGCAGTATCCTTCCCCTGCCACGCCCACCAAGCCACGTCATACCCACCAAGCCACACCCATCAAGTCACGCCCATAGAACCGGTAGTAAAAAAATTTGAATCCCATCACTGCCACCTGGTTAGTATGTGGCTGGGAGGCCATCACGAATCACTGGATTGTCACAATTCCAGGACATGGTGGCAGGTGGCTGGGTGGGAAATCTGGAAAACATGCCATGGCCAATCCTTGTTTTTGCAAGAAAAGCTCCACAGCTTGTGAAATCCCCAGGAACCAAGCTGGATTTGAGGCCATCGTTATCTTTTATAGCATTATTCAATTATCATAAACAGTAGGAGGGGAGGAACAGTTAAGGAAAGAAACGAATTGCTGATAAAAATGATGACATTATAACAGGGCAATATTTGAAGGGAACAATCCTTCTATGGTTGTGGAAGGGAAGAGAGAATAATCAACACACTTAAATCCATATGTGAGTTGGAGATGGGATCCTGTGGACCTTCAGCTATGGAGAGAAATGCCTTGTTATTAGTAAGGGATTAAATCCTGCAGAATCTTGGGGTTGACTTATTTTGCCATCACATCCCGCAGCCTCTTTGTCTGCCGCTGGACTGGGCTCTCGGTATACTTGATGGCCTTTTAAGAGAATTTCTGTGTAGCTTTTTTACAAAATTGCTCTGATCTTTAAAAAAAATATTGGTGCCGTTTTGCACACATTTTAACCTTTAAAAGATGGAAAAGGGCAAATGGGCACATTTTTTAAAACAAAGAGATTCAAGGTCTGTGAGCTACAAAGGAAAAGTGAGCTTACGCAGAGATAATATCACTTTAGGGGCTATAGAAAAATCACACATTTTATTATGCTATTGTTCTTTCACTAGAAGGGCTCTGTTCTCCGGTTTCGGATTTTCAGTGTTAGGAAACAGAGAGAGAAAAACAGAAAGCCAGAAGGAAGGAGATGGTGTATCACATATCCTGAAAATGCCCCATTGAAAGGAGAATGAACAATTTGTGAGTCTCATTCAACATGGGAAACCCTTGACCATAAAGAGGTTGTGGTTTGGGCATTAAGAACAGGGGTGGGATTCAAATTTCTTAACAACCGGTTCTGTGGGTGTGGCCTAATTTATGGGTGTGGCTTGGTGGTCATGTGACTGGGTGGGTGTGGCTTGCTGACTGGGCAAGGCTTGGTGGTCACATGACTGGGTGGGCATGGCTTATATGTAAATATTTAAATATTGATGAAAATATTGCATTTTTGATATATAAAAAAGGGCCAGCTTTTACCCAAAATCAGGCAAAGCAGGCAGGCAAATTGAGTTGCTGGCAGAATCACACATTCACTCTGAGATCTACCTCTCTGCAATCTGTTGCCTGAGTCTGCACTGAAAAATAGAAGCTTCAGTCCTAAGGAAGGTTCGGCTCTGCTCCCAGGCCGCTTCTCCCTCCCCCAACCCGCTGAATAACACCCTTGACTGGGCCTCAGGGAAGCCTCCTGGGTGAAGGCAAAGCAGTACAACAGCGATGTAGATTAGCTAGAAAGCAAGAAATCTGACGATTTCCTGCTTTCTAGCTAATCTAAACCTCCCAGCATAGCTGATAGTCAGA